GCAGCAAATCTGGGCACTTGGGAGCTGGGAGCTACCAGGAGACATTAATCTAGCTCAGGATTCCTCAGCCTTGGCAGTACTGCCACTTTGGGTCAGATAAAGTTGTGGGCTCTTCTGTGCATTGTAGGAGATTCAGTGGCCCCTAACTTATACCACTAGACACCAGGAGCATGGTTCTTCCCAGTGTGAAAAGAAAAAAGTATTTCCAGCCTCTGCTACTTGTCCCCAGGACATCAAAGTGACCCTCAGTTGAGAACCACAGAATCAGCCTCATGTCAAGGAAGCAAAGGCAGCAAAGAGAGACCAACCCATTCGAGAGAAGTAGGGAATAAAGTCAAAAAAGAAAATTAGAGGCCTCTAGGACCTCTTGTAGGAGCTGATCAAGTCTTTTTTTTCCTAAAGTAGTTTAATTTGTTCTGCTGTCAAGTGCAATAAAAATTCCAAAACAAAATTAGAAAAAGACAGATGGGAAACAGGGCTAAAGGGCAGTAAAAAAGAAATCAATCAACAGGGCTTGATCAAAACATAGATTCAACTGTGAGTTTTGAAAAAATTTATTAGAATTTATAAACCTGAAGATAAAGGGGCTGATGTGAAACAGATGGGCAGCAGCAGAAGTGGAGTCGTGTCAGGTTCCAGAAGAACATAAAATAAATGTTCAAGGTAGTCTCAGAATGAGGCAAAAGGAGGAAAAAAAACATTCCAGATTTTTATCTGTATTGTCTGGGATTAGACAAATATCGAGTAATGATTTTCTGTTTTCAAGTGTGTGTGCACATGTGTGTGTTCAATCAACTGCCAGAAATGTAAAAAGAGCAGGAGAAGTGCAAACTGTGAACACAGGCTCCTGTACCTGTCAACCAGACCAGCTAAGCAACATGCTCAGAGCAGACTTTCAGCCCAGGCTGCTGATCCCACGTTCCTACACCGTCCTCTACAGCAACGTCTCCCAGCCATGTACAACCTCACTTCCCAGAGACACAGGGAGTTAAGTTTCTTCCTAGGATGTCAGGTTAACATAACAGAGAAATTCATCATCAATATTTCTGCGTTAGATAGCCAGTTGAAGTAAAAAAGGTTGTTAATTTTCCTCCAGGTAACTGGACTGAAAGGACGGAATGGAATCCTTAGAAATAGTACTGTCTGGCTCCAAGGTGCAACTGTACAAGACAGACGTAACTTCTTTTCAGTCGGCTATTTGCCAAATGTAGTATGTCTGTCACCAATTCCGCATAACAGCTACTGGCAGGTCCTACTTAAAATCATTATTTTTTTTTAAGGCTATCGACTTGGGAGAAAGGAACCACAGAGGAAGTCTGTTGAGGGAAGCAGTCACTACACGAAGGCATGGCATATACTGAATGAAAAGTACATGTAGGGAACCAGCAGTTAGCGTAATGGCTATGTCGCTGGACTCCCACGTAGTCGACCGCGGTTCACGTCCCGAACCCGGTGGCTTAAAACTCACGCCGGGCGCGTGTGCGAGCGTGCCCAAGATCCCGAGAGGAGAATGGAGGAGAAGGGATTGTGGCGTGACCATCCCCCCTGGGGGGCGATTTCTCGCTTTCTGTCTCTATGCCTCTCTCTGTCTGTCTGGCGAGCGCACGCACCCTACAGTGAAAATCTCTCCAAAAAAAAAAAAAAAAAAGAAAAGTACATGTAAACTGTGGAACGGGTTTTCTAAGTAAAAGTCTAACGTGTTATTTATTTATTTTACATCTTTGGATGTTGCCAGGGGGACTGTGCACTTATCAGTGAGAGAAGGAGCATTCACCAGTGGGGTGTGGTGGTTCCACAATCCTTGTTCTCCCTCCCTTTCTCTTAACAGGATTTGGAACACACATGATCCTCTGCCTGGTGTTTTTTAAGCTGCCAGGACTGGGATTTGAACCACGGTTGGCTATATGGGATCTGGCTCCCAAGCATAGGGCTCAGCTACTGTGCTCTGGGGTTGGCTCTCTAAGATGTCATTTCACATATTATTTAAGTTGAAACACTTTTTATGTTGAGGTATCCTGTAATCACGTTTCCATATTATGGAAAATAATCATCATAGAACGCATTAGAACAACCAGTTCGAAAGCTAAAACTAGGAGTTCTACTTCTGAACATGAGTGCATGAAGAGCGCTGCAGATCTGTCCCCAGTGGTGACAGTCATATAAGGCATAGTCTCTCAACAGTGTTCGTCAACTGAATATCCACATGTAAAACAATAAAAATGAAATAATGAGAATTTTCTCACACCGTACACAAAAATGAACTCAAAGTCTTAGGAGTTAAAGTGCTTAGAAAAACACATAGGAGCTAATTTGTATAATCTTGGATTTGGCAATTAATTCTTAGATATGACTCCAAAAGCATAAGCAATGAAAGGAAAAAATAGATACACTGGACTTCATCAAAATAAAAAAACTTCTATACCTTAAAGGGCATAATCAAGAAAATAAAAAAATCAATCTGAATAGGATCTGTATTTGGAATACATAAAGAACTCTTGTAGCTCAGTAATAAAGATACAAACAATTCAACTTAAAAAGGGGTCAAAAGATCTGAATAGGCATTTCTTCAAACAATATCCATAAATGACCAATAAACACCTGAAAAGCTGCTCAAATTAGCATGTAAAAAGAACACACCAGGGAGAAGCAATTCAAAATGACAATGAGATACCACTTCATATCCACTAGAGTTGCTCTAATTAAAAAAAAAAAAATCAGATAAAACCAATTGCTGATGAGGATATGGAGGAAGAGAAATCCTCCTGCACTGCTGGCGGGTATGTAAAACAATGCAGCCATTTGGAAAATGGCATGGCAGCTCCTAGAAGGCTTGAACATAAGTATGACAAGACCAGCAACTTCACTCTCTTCACTCTCAGGCATTGGCCTAAGAAGAATGAAAGCATGTTCACATACAACTTTGTATACCAATTTTTAGAGCGGCATTATTCATAATAGTCAAAGTTGAAAACAACCCAAATGTCTATCAGTGAAAGGATAAATGTATTATAAAAGACAAATAAAATGTGGAGTAGCCATACAATATATATTTTTTGGCTATAAAAAAGAATAAAGAATCAAAAAAATGTTACAACCTTGCTGAACCTTGGAACAAGCCAAGTGAAAAAAAGGAGGAAGCCCTGGGTTTCCTTAGCAGCTTGCCCAGAAGTGGGGCAGGAGGAGAAGAGGGAGGAATGAGACTTGAAGACAGTCATCAGGCAAATATGAAAACCTGGACCCAGATTTTTCATTACAAATGATTTAAACATTATATATAACAATATTGAAGAAAAATGTTTAGTTCCATATTTATATCCACATAAGTATATATGTGAATAACTTGTTTTAGTTAAAATGATGTAACACTTTAGTTTTTGTGTGTGTGCATGAGATATAGATTTGGATGCTAATACCCAAATGATACTTAAAACCAGCCATGTAATGTAGCGTGTATGAACAATTATCTTGAATCTTACTAAAAGTTTCCAGAAATAAAAAAATCAGCAAAATCTGCACCAGCCAGGTGGCAGAGTGGTTATACAAGTTGGACCCCACCTGGCTGACTCATGATGTTGGGTTCTGGACTCAGCAGCTTGAAAAATACACAGTTGTGTGTGTCGTGTCTACGTGTGTGTATGCTCAACTTACTGAGAGAATGAAAGAGAGAGGACTGTGGTGTGGTTATTCGCCCCCCAAGGGAGTGCTTTTTCTCTGGCAAGTGCATGCACGTGCCTTAGAATAAATTTTAAAAATCAGTGAAATCAGAGGACCAGCAGATGGCAGAATGGTTACATCACTGGACTCCCATGTAATCAAATGCATATCAAGTCCTAGACCTGGCGACTTAAATCTCATGCCGAGCATGTGTGTGTGCATGCCCTAAATCCCCAGAGGAGACTGCAGAAGGAACTGCAGTGTGGCCATGACCCCAGGGGGTGCTTTTCTGCAGCCATTGCATGCACTTTATGGCAAAAATCTCTCTTAAAGAAAAAAAAAATATCAGTAAAACTGGGGCCAGTAGATGGCACAGTAGTTAAGGTGGTGGGCTCCCATGTGGTGGGACTGCAGTTCAAGTCCCAGGCCCAGCGACTTGAAATTCACACCCGATAAGTGTGTGTGTGTGTGCCCCCAAAATCCTGAGAGGAGAATGGAGGAGAAGGGATTGTGGCATGGCCATCCCCCCCAGGGGGTGATTTCTTGCTTTCTGCCCCTCTCTCTGTCTTTCCAGCATGTACCACACACACCCTGTAATAAAAATCTCTCTCAAAAAAAAAATTCAGCAAAAACCTAAATAAACAACATATTCCATTTTCTCATATACCTATAAAAGTAATAGGAAATCACTCTGCATGATTGGTATTATTAGGACATAAGTTCTAAGGAGTATGTCTTTTTTATCAATTTAGACATAGCACCTACAACTGTGTCTTACAAAGGGTAGAGACATGCAATAAGTAAAAAGGAGAATAAACTTGATAAATACCATAAACAACAGTAACTCAAACACTAAACTCAAATAGTAATTTAAGTCTATTTGGAAACTTTTATTTTTTTAACTGTGAAAAACAATTACTTAACTCTCTTTAAGAATTATTTTACTATTATTATTTCTTTCTAATTTGCTCTAAGGCATGTGCACTCACCAGAGAGTGAGTGGGAAAGTGAGAAAGCAAGCATCAGGTCAGTGACTCGAACCAAGGTCAGCCATATAGGAGTGCAGCACTTCAACCACCAAGCTACTTACTGGCCCTCAACTTCTTAACTCTTAACAGCAAACTTCTGAGGAGTTATCCTTAAGGTTTAATTAATGTTAAATCATTCTTTTGTATTGACTTTAAATTTCTAATATCTAAGTAAATAGTGCTTTAGAGGAAACTGATGAAATATATGTGGATGCAGAATATACTTGTTAACATATGTTGAGTTCGTATTAGAATCTTTCTTAGGAGCTTTAGCTACTGAAATGAAAGAACATACCACACTCAGCACTCTTATATTAAAATTTTTTATTAAAACTGCATCTTTATAACATATTTAAAAGGTCATCTTCCACAGACAAATATTTAAGAAAAAAATTTCTATATGCAATTATTGGCACACAAATTTAAAGACATAATTAAAACTAAGCTAAATCTTTCTCTATATAGATGTGCATCTATATAGCGAGATACAGGTATATCTCCAAAGCCATGACAACGACCTGGAATACCTGAGTTTTCAAGTTGTTGGTTTTCCAGGTAGTGTGAAACATTTTTCATCCACTTCATAAAGGGCGTGGCCGATCCAGAAAGAAACTTTGGTTGAGAGATTCTGTCTGCCGAAGATCACACAGAAGTCCTCGGTGTAATTACGGCTTCTCGTCAGAGGCTTCCTCCAAGTGGAGGTCAGTCTGTGATGTCAGGAATGACTCCCATGTGGCAAGGCACTGATAATGGAAACACACCGTGAGAGGATGGCAGTTCGCTTTTGGCATTAAATGGATCAACGCATCTTGGCAGATCTGCTCCTGTAGCAGTCTGTCCTGTTCCTCTTTTCCCATCAGTTTGTCAGCATCCTTGTCATTTTCTACACGTTTTAATTCTTAAAAGAGGGAGGCTATTGTTAAATAGAAGGAAAACACTGAAAGTTAAAAGATTATCACAGAGTAGTGTGCTAAAATAATATGCTATTTCCCAGGTGCCGGGAGAAAGCAGAGCTCTACGACATAGAGAAAAGTATGGATCCATTTGGATCTGAGAGGCAGGCATTAGGCGTTCAGACAGAGCAGTGATGATCCGAGCATGCCTCAGTCACAGCTTTGTTTTAACTGTGCCAGAGGACACGTGTGCTGGCTGGAGGTAGAGAAACAGAGAAAGAGAGGGAACAGAGAACCACCATGGGGCATGGTCACGCTGCAACCTTTCTCCTACATCTCTTCATTCTTTTGGGATTTGGGGCATGCACATACATGACCCCAAATTGCTTTTCATGCCTCCAGGTTCAGAACTTGAACTGCAGAGTCGATCATGTGGGATTCAGCTGCCTTACCCACAGGCCACCAGCTGGACCAGCCTCGGTCAGATTCGAACCCCACCTCATCCAGTGTGAGTTTGACTGGGAAAGTCGATTAACCTTTAATAGAGTTGCTTTGGTTATCAATTAGGTTAATGATAGTACTTACAATGAGGGCAATTGTGAAAATTAAACTTATGCAATCTCTGTAAATCTCTATGCAGAATGCCTAACAAAAAGCAAGTGCACGAAATAATAATAGTTCCTACAGTCTGGGATCCATTGCTCCTGGGGGTGAGATCTGGTCACTGACATGCCACAGGAAGTACCGAAGGACTGGAAGGGACTGAGGCGGTGGGAGGCACAGACACAAATGCGGCTGGCTTGATTTGCCTCCGGCTGATCTGGCAGACTAGATTTGGGAATTTATCTGTAAGAAGTCCATCAACAGCAGAATTTTGCATCATGTCCGTGCATATTTAGGATTCTCCTCAAACATACTTACTCTAATGTATATTCAGCTTGAGCTAAAATTAATTAGAGAAAAATGTTTTTTCCCATAGTGAATAGATTGCTATAAACATGTATTTTTCCATATAATTTACTTCACAGCTGAAGTAATTAACATTGGTCTATTTGTCTAAACTACAATATATATGTATGAGAACAGTAGAAAACACTGTTGAAAAATAGAATTGTCAAATAAGAAAAAGATACTGAGTGAAACTTATCCAACAAATCACTGGGCAAAATAGTGGATATCTGTTTTATAATATATATATTTTAAAATTCAGGCCTTGAATAAAGCTGGTCTCTTTAGAATAGTCAAGTCTATCAAGACTTTAAGGGATATTTTTGCTTTAAAACGTTTTACAGGGAGGGCTGGCAGGAGGCATCGTGGTTAAGGGTGCTGAACTCCCACATGGCTGACTATGGTTTGAGTCCCAAACCTGGCGCTTGCTTCCTCACTTTCCCGCTCTCTCTCTTGCTCTCTCCCTCTCTAGTCAAATAAAAACAAATAACTAAATAAAGTTAAATAAAATAATAAAAATAAAAAAAAAATAGAAACCTTGGAGGTTACTGGGGCCAATAACAATCCAAAACCATAGTCACTGTCATGAATCCATTCTGGAGTTGTATTTACCTTCCAGTAAATGACTCACTTTCTGAAATTCTACTTCTCATATATATACACATAATAGTAATAACTAACTCAAAGGAATAATAAAAAACAGAATGAGGGAGGGGTGGAGAGGTTAGGAAAGAAGATCAAGTTAGGTGGCTACTACAGGAACCACCAAGACCTAGTGACCTCCTGTTGCATAGCCCAGGATGTCTTTAAGTATATCAACAAGTCTACACTCATGAAAGACTTCACATTTACTGTATTTTCCCATTTTTGAACCCTTAATTATTTCTAACTGTCCAACTATACATGCAAGATTTGGGAGGTGAGGGTTGGACGTAAAACATTCATGTTCTCGACAAATATTTTTGAGTTCTTACTGTATGGCAGGTGTTAGGATAGGTGCTGGGGCATAGCCCTTGTCCAAATATAAACGATGACGTAGCAAGAAGCACAAGGAAACAAACACAATCAATGCCAGGGTCTATGAAGTTAGAGAGGATGATGGGAGTAAACAATGGTAGCGCCTAAGTCAGACCAGAGTGTCCCGCATGTTTTTTCATAGATGGGCTCACTAGTTGAGACTGAAAGATGAGCAGAAGGTAAGCCCTGGAAATCTGCATGTCTGTGAAAGGGCGACTTAAAGAAGTGCAAAGCAGGGATCAAGAACTCAGGCTCAGGACTTCGGTCGCTGACCAAGGTTCTGAATCAGGGACTAGATTTATTATTCTGCTTCAGTCAGTCAGACAGACAGACAGACAGACAGAAAAGACACAAAATCAGTGTTCAAGACTCTGTACATTAGAAAACAAAGGACAGTGGTCGCTGAGATAAGAAACATTCAGGTGAGCCCCAGGATGACCATAAGAGTTTATGAGCTGAACTGTGTTCTCCAAATCTAAGCATGGAAGCCCAAACCCCCAGCATTTCAGCCCATAACCGCGTTTGGACACAGGTCCTTTAAAGAGGAAATAAGGGAAAATGAAGTCATATGGGTGGGTCCCAGACTATCTTGGCTGGGCACTTATATGAAGAAGAGATCTGGATATATCGAGAGGTGCCAGGGATGTACACAAATAGGAAAAGCTATGTGAGGATATGGCAAAATGAGGCCATCTGCAGTCCAAGGAGAGAGACCTTAGAAGAAACCAATCTGCTCACACTCTGATCTTGGGCCACTAGGCTCCAGAAGTATGAGAAAGCAAATTTCTGTTTTGTAAGATCCCAAGAATTCAACAAACCTCAGATACAAGCAACATGAAGAAAAGTACATCAAGCCACTTTATAAAGAAATTGCTCAAAACTGGTAATATAGGAAAAATTATTTAAAGAAGCTAGAAGAAAAGGATGTCATATCTAAAGGAAAAAAGGTAAGAAGGACAGCATTTTCCATTCAAAATAATGGAAGCACAGGAAGACTGAGGAACAATATTTTAAACCAGGGAAAGAAAAAAAAATACTGCCAACCTAGAATCCTATGCCTAGGTAAATATCCTTCAAAAATAAACCTGGAATAAAGACGTTTTCTTACATACAAAAGCTATGAAATTTATCACCAGTAGATAATATTACCAGAAATAAAAGCTATGAAATTTATCACCAGTAGATAATACTACCAGAAATGTTTAAAAAGAAAAAAAATATATAGTCCCTCAGGCAGAAAGAAAATAAGAAAATAAGATCAGATAGAAGTAGTTCTTTACAAAGTAATGAAGAACACTAGACATTGCAACTATAATACATACATTTCTTATTACTTAAATTTATTTAAAATATAACTGGCCATTTAATGAAAAATAGTAACATCCTGTGCATCATTTAATATTTGTGTAAATAAAATGTATGATCAAAATAGCATACAAGCCCAGTGAAAGGGAATGAAAAACTATAATTATAGGTTCTTACCTGATAAGTGAAATGGTTTATTATTTGAAGGTAGACAATAAATTTAAGATGCATATAATAAACCTGAAAGTAACCACTAAGATAATAAAAGTTATGCTTAATATGCCAATAAAAGATGTAAAATGAAATCATGCAAAATTGTCTATTAATCTGGAAAAAAAAAAACAGAAAGAGGAAAATGGGAACAATAAACAGGTGGGACAAATAAAAACACAGCAAGCTAACAGACGCCAACCCAACCATAGCAATAATCTATTCAAGTGTAAAAGACCATGAGAGATGCAGGCTGTCTACTGAATAAAATACAAGATCCAACTGACTCTGTTTACATTTCTTAAACAATCTTCAATTTGAGAACACATATAGGTTAAGTTAAAACGATTTTTTTTTGGGGGGATGTGGTTGGCTCCATGGCCAACCACAGACAGAATTGCAAGGAGAAAGGCAAATCTGCAATTATATCTAATTCTGATACCACTTTCTTAAGAATTGATAGAATCTATGGACAGATGGGGCTGGAAGGTGGCATGGTGGTTAAAGCACTGGACTTCCACATGGCCAGCTGCAGTTCAAATACCCAACTTGGTAGCTTGCTCTTTCTCTCTCTAGTCAAATTGAAAAATAATAATAGTAAATACAATTAAATGAATAATTCTTTTTTTTAAAGAATCTATGGATAGAAAATCTGCAAAGTATAGAAGATTTGAACCATACTATCTATCAACTTGACCTGATTCATATATACAGAACAAAAGGAGAATATACATTTCTCTCATTATACCTATAACATGTACCAAAATAGACCATATTTGGTGCCACACAGAAGGTCTCAAAAATTTTTATTTTTTTATTTTCCACCTTTCTAACTTGCCAGAGGGCACATGTACTCAAAAGATAGAGAGAATGAGAGAGAGGGAGAGAGCAAGAAAACAACCCCTCATGGCATGATGATGCCTCAATCCCTTCTCCATTTCTGCCTTCTATGGATATTTTGGGTATGCACATGCACCTACTCAACATATTTTTCAAGCCATGGGATCTAAAACTCAAACTATGCAGTTGGTCATGTGGAATCCAGCTGCCTTAACTACCAGACCACAGGCTGGGCCTTCAATAAATTCTAAGAGATTCAAGTTATATGAAGTATATACTCTAAGTATAATGGAAATTAGAGATCAGTCATAGAAAGACATCTGAAAAATCCCCAAACATTTAGAATCCATGTAGGACAATTACAAGTAATTCCTTATGTTGAAGGAGAAATCAAAAGAGAAATTAGAAGTATTTTGAACTGAATAAAAATGAAACACAATATATCAAAAGTTTTGGTACACCACTAAAGTAACATATAGAAATTTATAGTACTAAATGACTGCATTAGAAAAGAGGAAAAGTCTTATGTC